TAGTGATAATATACTGCAAAGCTTTTACTAATCATTAGGTAGTGATCTGCGTCCTGCACGGAATGAGATAATTATAGAAATATGTAAACTACATACATGTGATCATGTATATTTTAATTTAACATTGTATATAATATAATTTAGTTATAAAATGTTTAAATTACACACTTGTGATTATGTATATTATAATTTAGTTTAACACTATATCACATCTTACATATTTGAAAGGTTTTAATATTTTGAAAATTTGAGTTGATAGCATATTTTTTCTAAATTGTGTAGTAGCAAGATAAATTATTTGGGCCTATGTTAAAAGGTTGAAAGTTTATCGACACAAGTTTACAAAAACCAAACAAAATTAATTTGTCTTAACTTAAAAAATGGAAGAAAGGCATGTGAAAAGGAATAAGGATTTGGTGAAATCATGTCGATCCTCTTTTTTGTTGATATGCTTTCAACAAAAAGAAAACGAAACAAATCTTTTTTCACAAACCCTTTATGCGTAAAACAAACCAATGAGTATGATATCTTATCTATTAAAATAGAAATCATTACTTTTTTCATGTGTGATTTTTTATTCTAACTTAGACCATCTTTTAAATTTTTTATTAAGACTAATAATATATAGAATTTCTCAATTACTTTAATCATAATATATTTTGATATATTTTCATTTTAAATATTAATATTAAATTTAAAAATTATAACAAATCTGTTTCAATTTTTTTTGACAATTTTTTTTTTTAAATATCTGTAATGGTTTCACTAAATTTCATCATTAGTTTCTATAAATATATAATATAATATAATATAATATAATATGATATAATATAATATAAAATGTTTTTGTAAATGTTTTTACTAAATTTCGTCATTAATTATAAGTTTCTGTAAATGTTTTTACAAAATTTTGTCGACGGTTACCTCTTTAAATAATGAATTAATTTACAGAGTTTCTACCATACAATATGTTAATGATACAATCACACATACGGATTTTGTTTCAGATATCCTAGTAACCCCCTTTTTTATATTGGGAAAAATTGTTTTTTAGGCCAAAAAATTAGGACATTGTCTCTTTAGACTAATTTATATTTTGTATCATTTTTTTACTCTAATGTCCTTAGGTATTTTTAGAAATTAATCAAATAAATAGTTTTATGAACCAAAAAAATCAAAATGTAATAACTAATGATAAAATACCTTGATCAACTTAATGATATTTTTTTCATTTTAAAAATGTTTAAATTATAATTTCATATTTTGTTCTACAGATATTATAATTGACATTCTACAAAGTAGAATATGAAATCCATTTTTTCCTTAAAATCTATTATGTTCAGAATATATACTCTACGTAAATAATAGTAATCTAAAACTATTTGAAATACACATTCCGCACTTAACCTATCCCTCTAAAATCTGTAAAAAGCAGAATCTAAAACTTATTATAAATCTAAAATATGTAGAAATCGAAATCTACACATTACTATAGATCTAAAACTAGTAGAAATTGATTTCAAATATTCTTACTACGTTCTACAGATAGTAGAATATATATGCTACGGATAAGGACAATCAGTTGTGAAAATTTAGGAATAAAATATTTGTAAATATTCAGTTACCATATATAAAAATTTGATTTTTCGAAAAAAAATATAATTAATTTTTTTCTAATTAGGATTTTGAACTAATAAAATATTTCTAATTATTTTTTTAAAAAATATTTGGAAAAATGTAATACTTTTAAAAAAAATATCTGAAATTTTAAAAATTTGAGATTAAAATATTGGGAATATTTTCTTAATTTCAAATAAGTTTTTTCTAATTTTGAATTAAATATTTGTTCTTTTTTTAAAAAAATCGAATTAGTTTTTAAAATATTTGGATTGTTTTTTGGGAATTTTTTCTTATTTCGACTTAGATTTTTTATAATTTGGAAATTTGGAAATAATTTAATTTTGAATTATTTTTAAGAATATTTGGAAATATTTTTGGGAAATTTGTTTTATTTCGAATTAGTTTTTCAAATATTTTGAAATGTGTTTTTAAAAAATATTTGGAAATATATATTTTAAAAAAAATATAATTTAATTTGTAAAACTTTGGAATAAAATATTTGAAAATATTTTTTTAATTTCGAATTAATCTATAACATTATTTGAGAAGTAAATTTGCTTAGTTGTCAACTTCTCCATGATTTTAGGTTATTTTGCTTATTTTCATGTTTAAATAATTTATTATATAATAAAAACGAATTTATGTTAATAATATTATATTTTTAGAAAATATGTTAATTCTTTTGTATTAGATTGTTATCTTAAAAATATATTTTTCAATTATTATNTCTCCATGATTTTAGGTTATTTTGCTTATTTTCATGTTTAAATAATTTATTATATAATAAAAACGAATTTATGTTAATAATATTATATTTTTAGAAAATATGTTAATTCTTTTGTATTAGATTGTTATCTTAAAAATATATTTTTCAATTATTATTTTAGAAGTAATTTTGCTTAGTTGTCAACTTCTCCATGATTTTAAGTTATTTTACTTATTTTCATGTTTTAATAATTTATTATTAAATAAAAAAAGAATTTATGTTAATAATATTTTATTTTTAGAAAATATATTAATTCTTTTATATTAGATTGTTATCTTAAAAATATATTTTCAATTATGAAATCTAAGTGAATTTGCTGATTAATTTGTAACTTTCTGTGATTTAGGTAATCTATACTATTATTTGTGAATGTTTTTTGCAACAGAGCTCTCACGTTGAAAGTTAGAGCGGTTAATATCGTTTATATCCTTAATGAATAATTAAAAATTTTAATATAATTAAACATAAATTAAAAACGAATTTCAATGATTTTAGATTTATCTTTATCTAAAACTATTTTATATTGGGTTATAAAGTCTGTATTAACCTTGAAAAATAATTATATTAGTTAATATATAATTAATTATAAATTAAAAACGAATTTCATATATTTGATAATTATCCTTATTTTAATTTTTTTATATTATGTGATAAAGTCTTTATCAACCTTGAAAAATAATTATATTTGTTAACATATAATTAATTCTAAATTAAAAAATTAATCTCATGAATTTGATAATTATCGTTATCTAACTTTTTTATATTGTGTTATAAAGTCTTTATTAACGTTGAAAAATAATTCTATTTGTTAATATATAGTTAATTATGAAAAATCAGTTCGCAAAGAATTTATGTATAGATAATTTATATTGTGTTATCCAAAACATTATTAAATATAATTTTTTGTTATGTCTAAAAATGATATTAATTTATTACTAAATGTTTTAAGTTTATGAGTATTTTCAAATATAAGTTATGTAATGAAAATTATTTATATGATGATGAAAAAATTTATATATTGAAATAATTTCTTTAGTTTATTATTAAATATTTTGAGTCTATGAACAATAATTTATTATGATGTACATAAATTGATTATATATTTATTTATAGATATTAGTAAAATTATTAAGCCCGCAAGTGCGGGCAAAACACCTAGTTTTTTATTAAATCTAAAATAAATAATTTTTATTTTCTAATAAAATAGATAAGGGCATCATTGCCATTTAGAGAATATTTAACCTAATCAGACAACTAAACAATGAAATTAGCATAAAGAGACAATGTACTAGTTGTTTTGGTCTAAAAAACAAATGAGTATTTGTACTCCATACACATACAAAACATCTTATTTAGCTCCATACCCTATTTCTCTCTTCTCTTTCCTTCCCCCCATCACTATTTTTTTCCCCTAAAATATGGCAAATCCCTAAATATCTACTTCTTTTGGTATTTTCAACTAAATCACTCAAAACAAATTTCCCTTTGATATTTGTATTTTGAGAAAGTATATGGTAAATTGTGAACGAAGATGTGTCTTGGTCAGGCCTGGCCCAGTCTAAATTGGTGCCTAAAGCAAAAACAGATTTTGGCGCCCTCTGATGTTCGAACCGAGCACCAGAAGCTCAGTTAATAAGCACACAACCACTAGGATACATAAACGTTTTGGTAGTTTTAATGCCCATAAGTATATATCATAATTTGGTGCCTAAAGCTGGTGCTTCCCCAGCTTTAGGTCAGGGCCGGCCCTGGTCTTGGTTTACAAGAAACTGGGCTGGTATGTTGATAAGTTATATCCATTATCTCCCAGTTTTTGGTATTGATCGTATATAACCTCCCAACGGTTCATAACATAAACATGTGAAAGTTACTTGAGACAGAAACAAACTTTACATTGACGCTTAAGTATCCCAAAACATAGTATCCTTACCAGACACATGCCATCATGATCTTATGTTTTTTCTTTTGCTAAATACAAACCAAACTTTTCTAAAGAGTACAGAGGTATGTATAAATACATACTATTTAGATCTATAGTAATCTTGGAGTGAATACATACTATCATCATGATCTTCATACTTATTATAAATCCGCACTTAACCTATCCCTCTAAAATCTGTAAAAAGCAGAATCTAAAACTTATTATAAATCTAAAATATGTAGAAATCGAAATCTACACATTACTATAGATCTAAATAGTATGTATTTATACATAAACTCAGTGAACCGTCATGATGATAGTATGTATTATCATCATGATCTAAATAGTATCGTCATGATGGAGTGAATACATACTATCATCATGATCTAAATAGTATCTTGTATGTAGTAATCTTTGTACAGAGGTATCATCATGATCTTGGAGTGAGAGACAGAGACTCATCATGCCTTCCTCTATCTTTGAGACTGTGTCATCTGAATCTCTCTCTAGGACAATGATAAATAAACAAAACAAACACGTTCATAACCATATATACAACAAGACTATTCCAGGGAGAAGAGAATAGTATTGTATAGTCACGAGAGGTATGACCTTCCTGCATCGTATTAGACCGGTTTCATGTTTCCTTGAGATGTGATAGATCACAACTGTGATCTGAGGCATATTTGATTTTTACACTTCTCTTGTTTTGGCTCTCTTCATTCCAAGGCTATTGTAAGGAGAAACAGAACCAGACATTGGAGATACTTCATTCCAAGGCTCTCTCAGTTGTTGTTTCTTGTAAAAATCATGCGTTTCCTCCTTCAAAACAGAAACCAAATGTGAATAAAACAACACTATATCATCAGCCGGGTTTGAAACTAGAGGGGAAAGAGCTTAAGACAAACAATAGGAGTAAGAAGATCATCGAGTATCTCGCGAGCTTGCATGAGACGTGCATCGACTATCTCAATAGGTAACTCTGCTTCAACTAAGATATGAAGTGGCTCATTTAAGTGCTCAAATCCTGGTTTTCCTCTCATCATTTCCTCCTACATGATGAAAAATATTCGAATTCATTGAACAAACATTGTTTATAGAGATGCAAATAAATGAAGATGTGAAGGAAAAACAGTAACTACCTTAACTGGATCTTTTATGCTGCCTCTTCCTCTTATAAGAACACGACAATCCGTACTTGCTTCAACTTGCTTCAGGAAGTTTCCTCTAGGACCTAGGAGGCGACCAACGAAATTGAACTGTCATAAAAAAGAAAAATTGGAGTTATGTTCCGACCAAATAGTATGTATTTATACATAAACTCAGTGTAGAAGTGAGTGTTCATACATTTGGGTAATCATCGACTGCAATATCAACCCTTATCGTTCGCTTGGCGATCAGACCGGAGGGACTACCTGGTGAGTTAAGCCAGTTTGGTTCAGGAGACGATGGAACAGATCTCTACATATTATCAACCGACACAATTTAGTAGCCACATCAACCTTTAAGGCACAAGAACAAGTTAATCAACATAATAGTTGCAGCATCAAATAGCAAAAGAATATCAGAAACTTCTTCTCCATGACAACCTGTAGCTGCTATAAACCTACTATTATGCATATAGTGGTTACATTTATGAGAAGATTATAGCAATAACAACATCATTTAAAATCCTTCTCAGACAGGATAATGGTGGAATATCTAATTAGTGTTGATATAATAAGACCGGATCCTGTACATCATTACAGGTATATTTACTGTTAGCCAAAGGCTACCTGTCATGATAAACTAGGACTGAAAGTAATCAAATGTTATGTCAGTAAGTCAATAAATTACTTGTAGAATTAAAATTAGAATAAAAGAGTTATGTTAATGGTGGTTAGTAAAGTCATACTTCTAATGGAAACTGTGAGGCTGCCCATCCGCTCAGGTCAGCTCTTGCATTCTGAAATATCCTTCCATTACCTAGAGGGCTAGGGTGGTCAAGCCCACTCTGACTCAAAACTGTGGCATTCTCCAACAGTGTGGTTACACGCATAATCTCTGCTTCAAAAAATGTCAAATTTCCAAGGGCAAGACCCACCAGTTAGAATTAGACAATTAGTCAATAAATTAGTCGGCCAGCAGTGCACCAATGAATGGAGAAACAGCACAGTTAAATGAGTCAGCAAAGAATCGAGTTCTAAGTCAAATGTTAATATGTTCTAACTTATAGACTCTCTGTGATTAGCAAGATATCTAAAATGGGGAGTTAAATCAGTCAATTTTTTTTAAAAATACAATTTCCATCCTCTAGCGATGATAGCAGCAGGAGTTAAGTGTTTATCAAATGTATAAGAGCTTCAATGTCATGAAGTAAGAAATGACATATACCATTTGCTGAAAATACATGCAATAAACAAGAGAAACATCAATGCTCACCCTGGTTTAGTAGTCGCTGTGCATGTGGAAGAACGGGAAAGAATGGAGTAAGCTTATGACGCTCTTCGAGTAACTCTGAAAGATAACAGCAAAAAAATATAAAAAAAATCAGTAAAGCCTCAAAGACACAGAAAAAAATCACTCAAAAGGTTCATACCATGCATGATCAAGAAACCAATAATTTTTTTTTAATATGTGCATCTAGATTCACATTGTCTCATTGTTAAGTGCAGTGAATCTAGTCACTCTTCCTTAAAAATGTGACTATTTAACAGTTCTATCAGTCAAGAGCACAAATCAAAAATGAGAAAACGAATAACGAATTAATGATCCATAAATCTACCATAACACTAAAAACTGATGCTTAAACGACACAAGACAAAAAGTGAAATGAATTGAGACAAATCAGAAGTAGGCTAGCTTAAAAATAGGACAGAACTTAATTCTCAAATGTTAAGATTCAAACAAGAGCATCAGGGCAGAAATATGGATCCTAAATATACATCATACGATAATAAAACACAGCAAACCAAATCAAGAAATCTCCAGATATGAGATATAAAAAAACTAGTGAGATCTAAGGAGAAAACAAATGTCAAACAATACATCATCAGATTCATCAGCCAAAAAAAGAAAACAAACAAACAAAAGAAGATGAGAACTGAGATTCACTTACTTCTCTTGTTCAAAGAACACAGAAGACTGTGATCTGATACCACCTGAGTAGCTAGGCGAATGAGGACCAGATGGAGGAACCGAAAGAGACGAAGAATACGTCGTAAACCTCCCACCGCGGCCACCACCTCCTCCATCACCACCACCACCGAGCGACGTCATCATCATCATCGGAAAGGCAAAAACGTTCACAAGGAATCAGAGTAGAGCCATGGGAGATCATGAGAAGATGAAGCGGCGGAGTAACGAAGAAGAGATGTTGTCTCTCTTAAACGTCGGTGGTCGTTTTATAGAGACAGTCTTGGTACTGTGGACATGATTACTTGCTTAGCTGTTTCCCCCCTTCTTTTTAACCTTTTCATTTTATATTACTCAAATTTTACCGCTCTTGTTTGGTTTCTTCAGAAGCCTCTTCATTATCTATGTGCATTTCTATTTAGGACACATTTTTCTATTTAGGACACATTTTTTCACTTTTTTAACATTATACAGACACATACTGCTGTAGGGACACTTTTTTCTCAAAGTCAAACTGAATTCGGACGGAAATGACCTCATTGGAAGAAGAGAGACATCAAACAATTAGCTGGGGACTATTTATTCTCTTTATTTTGTCTAGTTTTTGGATACCAAACTGAACAATGTCTATAAATAAAAAAAATATAGTTATTTGTACTTTATTTATCCCATCATGTTTAATTTATTATTATTTCAATTTATAATATGTAAATAAAATTTATAATAACCATATAAAAACCTATTTTTTCTTCTTATTATTTTGATATCCATATATATATACTTTATATTTTAATATTTAGCCAATTTTTCAAATATTAATTTATTGGATATGTGTTATATACAAAAGTATGTTTTTCAAATTTTATGTTTTGTCTTTTTATGATATATTATATATATATATATCACAATTTTTACTATAATAATTTTTTTTCTATATTGTGATATCCACTTTGATATAATTTTGTGATATTTTATTTTTTTCTCTATATTTTCTAGTTTATTTTTTATATATAACCTATACAAATAAATATGTGGACATGGATGATAAAAATGTGGATATTAGAAATGTGGACATGAATTTTTGTTTATGTGATTTATGTTCTAATTGGACTTATTGTGTCATTCTCTTTGTTTCTTTCATTAAACAGTGCAAATAGAAACCAAAGTTTTTAAGATCAATAACAAACTATTAGTCAATTAACATGGATATCTTCAAACTCCAAAACTTAGAGACTTGGCTTTTCTACAATTTGGTAACCGAAGAATTACTAAAATTAAATTTATTTATGGTAGGGATCTTTGTTCACTTAGAATATATAACAATTTCTCTATCCACTTCCACAATTCTCTTGTTCATCAATATCCATGTTGTAAGATCAAAAAATTTCTATCCACATTTTCTATATCTATACAACTTTTTTTTATAAATATAAAATATATATACATATATATATATATATATCGATATGGATGTCAAAACGTAGAAAATACAAAACTATGATTTATAATAGTAAAATTATTTGCTTTGAATATTTGTACAAGAAAATATAGACAAAATATATATTAAAGGTTAAGAGAGATATGTTGAAAGTGAATCTGAATTTTCAAATAAAGATGGAGAGAGAATAAAGGTATGTTTAGAAAACTGAAAATGATTGCTTTATCGTTGAGAAAGTGAGAGAAGTTAGACTTAGGAGAGAGTGTATTTAGTTAAAGGGTATATAGGACATTGTATAAGGAACAAGTGTGTCACCAGCAACAAGTGTCTTAATATGAAATTTGAAAGACAAAAAGTGTCCTAGAGAGTAAAAATTTCTTAAATTTTTAGGTTAACCAACCAATAAAATTACATTATTTTATATTCAGTATCTTTAAAAAAAACACGAGTTATATTACACTTTTAAAATTTAAAAATAAAGATAAATAAAAAATAAAATATTTGCAAAAACTAAATTAAATTTTCTTAATACTATTATCAAAACACTAAACCCTAAACCTAAGTCCTAAACCTCAAAACCTTCTGTAAACCCTTGGATAAATCTTTGACTCTTTTTAAAAAAATTTAGTACCGTCAACAAAACACTAAACCCTAAATCTAAATCATAAACCTTAAACTCTTGGATAAACTCTAAATCCTTGGATTAATCATAGATCCTAGGGTGTAAGATTAATCCAAGGATTGAGGATTTATCCAAAGGTTTAGGATTTAGGGTTTAGGATTTATGATTTAGTGTTTTGCTGACGGTATTAAAAATATATTTTTTAAAAAGAATTTGTTTACAACTACTATTATTTTTTCTTTTAATTTTTTAAATAATATAACTCGATAATATTTCATTTCCTTTTAAAAAATATACTAAATATAAAATAATAAAATTCTATAGGTTGGTGAACATAGAGGTTCACCCTTGGAGATAAACCCAAGAATTTCTCTATCTAGAAGGACCTGAGATACAGTTTACTAACATTCTACGAGCTAATAATAATCTCGTACGGTCACATAATAATCCGGTGCATTTTAATAATAACTAGATATGGGTTCATGCGTTGCATGGATTTTGTTTGGGGTTTTAATTTTACAAAAGACATAAACAAAAAAAAATTATGTAATTATAGTTTTAGGATCTTTAAGCATATGTTGTGTGATTTTATTTTAGAAATAAGAACTCTTTTTCCACCTAAATTTCAATTTACAATAAAAGCGTTATATAAAATTATTCAATGTTAAATAATTTCCTAAATTTATTATTGTTAATCATATTTCCATACTAACAATATAAATAAAAATTAACTAAAATAACTACATAGTAAAAAAATGTATTAAGATGAGGTTGGAGATTGATTTGTTTTTGATCAAACACATATAAAGATCACTTATGATGATAATAACAACATCTATCTTTTATGACCAAACATGAAAATATATATCAAACATGTGTTTGATTTTCGTATGACCAAACTCATATAAAAAACAATCTTAACCAACATCCAATTTTTTGGTTAATTAAATAGTTTTCATATCATTTTTGTTATCTAATTCTTTAAAAAATACTGATATATAGGTTTTCTAAATTTTGTTTGTTATGATCTAAAGAAAACATACACATTTTATTTTAAAATCTCTATTATTTAAATTTGAAAAAGGAAAAAATACATCAAATATAATTTTGTATTTTTTGTTTAGGATTTTGGAAAAAGAAAATTCATATCATATAATCTTATCTTATGTTTACAATTTAAGGTAAATTAAATTACTATCAAATAATTATTTTTAGTTAATATTATAATAAATTTTAAAATTACTCTCTCATAACTACTATTTTTACAGTTAGTTTTAATTAAATATTTTTATTCATGTTCATCAAAATTCTATTTTAAAACATATAATCCAATAATACTTGTAAACTTATCTTTTGGATTTCACTTAAAAATATGATAAAAATCTCTTTTCTTTAGGATTTTTTTTTTAAAAACTAATATCAAATATTCTTTTAAAGTTTTTAATAAGGATTTTAGTAATGAATATATTTTTTATAATTAACTTGTGTCTAGGATTTTAAAAATAAAAATTGTACATACAAATAATTATTTCCAAGTAATATTAATGATTTTAAGAAGTTTCTATTTTCAAAATTCATTTTCTTGGTATTACTAATACTTTTACATTTTTCTTTGTCAATTGGATAAATTATTAAAAAGAATAGCTACTATCAAAAAAGCTTTAACATCTTTGGTCATGACTGAAAAAAATGGTTAGGATTTAAAAAGGTAAAAGTTCTAATTTTTTAAAAAAATATTTAATGTTTACTGAAATAATTATAGTTGTAGGATTCTATTATTCTTTTTTTGTTTAAAATTACTATTTATTTATAATTATCTTTCTTTAGTATTTTAAACAAAATATTATAGTTTTTTTAACAAAAATAGGAAATTACATTCAAATATATTTTTACAATTATATTTTTGCTTAGAATTTTGTAAAAATAAATATCACTATCAAATATTTTTCAATAAGATAATTATATTTATGATAAAAATTAAACACATCTTAAAATATATATTGTCATGTGTTTCAATAATATTAATCAGAAACTTTTAAGAGATTTTGTAATAATATTTTTAAACTCCTAATAACAGATATTTCTAAAATAATTTTTATCTAAAGCAAAAGAGAAATTTTTTCATTTTTTTCTTTTAAATCCTGACCAAAGATAATTATATAATTTAATTAATAATATTTTTTTGTCTTTTTAAGAGTTTATGATAAACATAATACTAAAGCCAGTTTAGCTAACAAAAATATGTAATGATATTAAAAACGAAGTGTAAGAATTCCAATTTTAAATTTTTATTTAGTATTTTTTCTTTTATCAGAAACAGAATTATGAAAGAGAACACATTTCAACAAAGAATGAATGCGAGAAAGAGGCGATTCAAAAACGGTTGGTTTTCCGGAAACTATTCAATACGATCTTTGTGGTTAGAGAATTCTTTCGACATTGTGGAGTTATGTTGGTTCGTTTTTACCACGATGTCTTCCATCTCCATGGAGGAAACCCACTCCTCTCATGATGAAGTAATTATGCGATTTTTGGGGAATTTTGGGGGTTATTTAAACTCAATCGAAAGATGTTTTTTTTTTTTTATCAATTCCAATCAAATTCTCTGGCAAAATATTTTCTATTCATGTGGCAACACTACTTTTTCACTGAAGAAATGGCTGAAGGCATTCGTCGTGCTTTTCAAGATATCGACTTAGGATATCATGATGCTCCGTTTGTGTTACCGGTGGAAGTGGTCCGTTAAGCGGCAGAGGAGAACCGATTTATCTTGGTGGGTCGTCCAGTTATGCCTAGAAAGCAGAATCTGTGCTCAATCATTGCAACAATGCCCCACACTTGGGGTGGAAGGCATTCTTAGAGGGCGTATCACTGAAGGGAGACGTTTCCAATTTGGTTTCCCTTCGGAGGAGGCTTTAGAAACGGTGGTACGGAGGGGCCCTTGGGATTTTGCTGACCAAATGCTGGTGCTCCATCGATGGACGCCTTTGATGGATATGGAACTTCTGAACTTCATTCCTCTCTGGATACAAGTCAGGGGTATTCCATTTCAATTCATGAACCGGGAGGTTATTCTTCACATTGCAAGGGCGATGGGGCAGTACATCCAGATGGAATACAATGAAGAAGTTGGTGAGTTTGTTCG